CTTGCTACAATTACAAATTGCACGAGTTATTCATCAGGATGACTTGAATGAATTATATGCTTATTACTTATTTGTGCGAACTTTTTAAAGTTTGCTGAATGTGTATGCTTATTGGTTAGATTGTACTTTATTTTTGCTTGCTTTGTACATTTACAGAAGCTGTTGGTTATGGAGATCCCTTGGTAGCTGTCTTGCCGGCATTTCATGGTATCAAATAAATTAACCTGAAGCATTGGATTTCATTAGAATTTATGGAGATAACACAAATAGCCAGTTAATCGGTCCGATACCTTCAACACTGTCTCAGATTCCAATCTTGAAAATACTGTAAGTTCTGAAGCTATCTTTTCATCCACATCTCTGGTTTGTGATCACGAGGTCATAAATTTGTGAATTTATTCAAATTATAGTTATAGGGACTTGGCTCAGAATAAGTTGAGTAGGGAAATACCTAGACTTATTTAGTGGAATGAAGTTCTTTAGTATCTGTGAGTATAATAATTTATGAAATTTTGATCCGTATTTTAATTGAGAAGAGAAGTTGGGCCAATTTTTTTCCTAAGCAAGTGAAGTCAATTATTTTTAGACCCCCCCCAGTTATTTTCTTTAGTATCCAATCTAAATTCTTACAAAAGCCTTCAAGTTCTAGAGCATCGCACGGGAGAAAGACTAGTGTGATATAAAGATCAAAACTAAAATTCTACTAACTTTATATAACACAATTCACGTGTGAGACTTCATGAAATAATTTATGGGATTATGTAGGTAGGAATTTCGATTTCACCTAGGTCAATTACATTCACTTAATTCAATATCATCTAGCCCCCTTCTCACGCGTGTTAACAATCAAATTAACCAAGTTTAACTATTCTCTCTCGAGTAAAACTATTTATATTTACATGCTTAGATTTACTATATCCTATTTAAATTCCAACACATATAAATACTTATTTCACAAAAATCCAATCAAGGTTGCATAACATATAAGAGAATCTCTCGATCTCTTATCATACATATGTCACTTATTGTACGAATTAGACAAATATATCACATCAGTATCAATATTGTCCCTAAATTCATCACGCACGCAATAAGTAATTAGCACACATAAAACTGGCATGATATCTTTGAGTTAAATTTACATTAACTACATGTTTCATCCTAACAATTAAACCCTTGTTTGATCCCAATTATTTTCAAATATATTTTT